AATAGAGCTTCTTGATCCACATGCCAGGCTACAGATCTTTACCACAAATTCAAATGATGCAAGAGGTAAGAGATACTAGAGGCATGGAAGTACAAATGCATATTATTCTCTAACAGCTACTGAACTCCTTGTTTTAAAAAGCCGTTTAGTTGCATGGAGAGTTACACGCAGCAGCGACAAGGAGGGTTTCAGGTATTCCTCTCCCACCCACAGCCTCGCACTGAGTTTTGTTCTGCCCTGGACAGTAAAGTGGCCCAGACAACCCTGATTATTCCCTCTGAAAGCATTTCTCCTTGCATAAAGATCAAAAAAGCATATGCTGGAGAGCTCCGATTAGCATGTGCAGCCCCCTGTGGAGCCAGTACTCCTTAACTCGGAATTGTCAGAGAACCTGCGACTCCAGCATGAATTCTTGCCTTACAAATACTAGAATGAGCATGAAATCACACCCTCTAAATGGACGAGGCATTTTAATGATGGTGAAGGTCAAAGACAAAGCACAAACATGTGGAAGTGAGGACGTGTCAGAGACTAACGCAGTTGCTTTCCCGCTGAAATGAGTGGTCTGATGCTGAGCACAGGAGAAGAGGCAGGAGAAGGGGTGGCCGGGCAGGAGCCACCGTGGCCAGCACAGACACCAAGGAAGCACCAGGTGCTGCTCTGGCTCCTCAGTGGTGGCACAAGGGTGATCCCACCCCAATGCCAGCAGCTAGAGGGAATACCAAAAGGAAAGCGCAGCTTTCAGAGCAAGGGGGTTTGTGACATGAGGGTGCAATCTCTCATTGATTATCAGTTCCAGCTGGGGAAGCTGGGGCTGGAAGGAGAGTAGGTGGCTCCCAAGGGAACCCACCTGAAGGAAGCCTATAGGGAGGGCTTTATTGCCCTCTTTAGGGCTTGGTAGCAGAGGAGAGCAAGGTAGGAAAGGCTCAGACTGCTTCAGCATTTTTTTTTTTAATTAACTTTTTCCTCCCCCTTTTGTTTTTGTGTTCTGAGTTAATAGTGAAGGTAGGAGACAAAGCTGTAGTTGTGAAAGCTGCTGAGGAAGTCATGGTCACTTCAATAGATTCTTCCTGGGTGAGTAAATATTGTACTATTCTACATGCTCATGCTACAACAAGAGCAGCAAAAAAAAAAAAAAAAAAGGGTACATTTCAGTAACCTTTTGTTACGTTTTTGAGTGATGCTGATGGGCAGCAGCTCAGTTTGAGCATGCTTAGAAAAAACTTTAAAAGATTTGTATTCTTTCTGTGCAATAACCTGAGACAGAGCACAACTGCATGGATGTTCCTAGCTGCTTTCTTGGGATCATTGATGCCAGTGATCTTGGATCTGTTGTGTGGCCAGAATTAACGTACTTTGCAAGCGTGTGAATTCAGTAATTCTGCAAACTAACTGATGAGTTCTTGAGTCTTTTGCCTTCTAAAATCAAGCAGTGAGATAAAGCGCGGGGAGGAGGGAAGGGGAGAAATTCATTTGCAGGAGCTCGCTGGGCTCAAGATAGATATCCATAAAGCTAGGGAAAATAGCTTTCTGTGGCTCAACTGAGTTCCTGTTTAATTACTTAGCCAGATATGACCTTGCACAACTTCTATAATATAAGGGACTAGGAGATTTTGTTGTAAACACAGACCATAATAACTTCCTTCTTTAATCTCCGTTTCTCTAGCTGTTGGCACCCTTTATAAAGTTATATATATATCCTTGGAGCACCTTATTGAGAAAAGGCTTGGTGAGAGGATAAAAACATTTGAGGTGCAGGAAGTAATTGCACACGAACACAGTTACTCATCTTCTAATTGTTATGTGGAAATGCTGTTATCAGAAAACTCATTTTTCGTGGTATGTTCTTCTCCCTGGCAGTTATAGTACTCATGATCACTGACAGAAAATGCCCTACTGGTTTGGCAAAATGATCTTATTTAGTTAGACTTTTAACATAGTTTTAGATAGGGCTACCTGCTCATCTGCAGTTTTCTGTGTGCACCTGAGAATTGGCCGTGCTTGGCGGTACCTGACACTGTTCCTGGTGTTTCCAGCAAACCAGCGGCACTAGGTACCTTTAAAGGCCTTCACAGAGATGCCCATAGAATTACGCAAAGTGAATCTACCCTGTGTGTAATAACAAATATTATGAATTGAAGAAGTGGATAAAATGCAGTGTGGCACAAGGCATTTATTAATTATTTTACAAGCAGTGCTTTAGACACTGCTCTTTTTTGGGTAGTGTTGGAAACCATGGAAAACCGCATCCCTTTTATGATAGAGATGCTGATTTTGTTTGTTTGTTTTTAAACATACAGTAGAAGAAGCAAGATGAAATTAGTTTTAAGGTGTGTGCTGTTGTAAATGAGGATTTTGTTTGTTTTTAAGTGTTAGATATGCATACAATAGGCACTTCAGGAAAGAAAGTAAATGATTCAAACTCAGGATCATTCTTGTAAAACACCTTACAGAGTCCCTTTTGCCACTGGAGCCATTCACACTTCTGCCCTTATAAAACACATGTGGGGAAAGTGCCCTTAAATCTCAGGGTACCTGAAGCGAACTCTCTCCTGCTGTGAAAACAAGGCCTTCTGAGGGAATTTCCAATGCATGCCAATACTTTGATTTCTCTTAAGAAAACTTTAGCCTCTTAAATACTGTCTCTGTGTGATATTTTGCTGCTCAGCTGAGGTGCCTGCTCTGCCTTTGGGCAAAGTGAGGCCCACTGGTTCTTAATTGCCTCTTTCCCCAAGTGATTTGAGAGACTGTTCTCTAACTCACTGTAATTATCCTTTACTGTAAACTAACCGAAGTAGACTCTGATTTTGTTGTTATATTCATTAGCAAGCATCTTGGTTTTGAATATTAATGCATTCTAGGAATATTCAGATAATAAGAAGGGCTGATTGCATAGCAAGTACTTCTAAAACACCCTGGGAAACAAATCCATACCTGGAAACTGATCTGAAATAAAAACTATTGTTTTTCTTGTTTGGGGGTGGGTTTTTTTTTTTTTTGTAATCCATTAATTACTGAATTCCACTGGATGGAAATGCTGCAAACTGGCTTTGCATGCAAATATCATCTATGCAGGGGAGACTAACTTTTCCCCCTCCCACCCTCCAGAATAAACAGGATCAAGTTACTTGATGGGAATTTTGGGTCCGATCCTTTGTCTGTGGTAGGTTTCTACTGTGCTCAATGTTTCTCACTTAAGGTCCATAGCCAAGTCTTACCTTTACAGACACTACTTATTGCAGATATACAAAGTGGGTTACTCCTTTAGGACCTGAGAAATGTGGGAAGAATGATGGCATCCCTTCAAACCTTTTTTGTTCTATGGATTATGTTTGAATAGATTCACCACTTATTCCTTAGAAAAGTGAAGCAGTGCAGGTGCTTTCTGTTTTGTTAAGGTCTTCAGTGGTATGTTCTGCTCAGTTCTTTGAGAGAGGTGAATGTGTGCTGCATTAAGGAAGAAACGCTGAACGCTTTTAATAGCTGGGTTTTGTCATCCAGCTCCTACCTCAGTTTCTCGACCTGCAGTTTCCTCCTGCATATTCCTCCGCCTGCCAAACCTAGTATAGGGTTTGCCTAGTCATTTTGATGGCTGAGTAACAAAGAAAATACTGGGGCTTTTCTGTCCAGGAAATTATTCCAGTCATAGATATGATCTGAATGTGGACTGCCTTATTCTAGGAAGAGGAACCCTTTAACCAATGTAGAATAATAGACTGTGCTCCTTAGTGGAAGAAACTAAATCATAAAAGAACACTATCAAAAATAGTAAAAAGCTATTGCTGAAAAACTACTACAATAGCCTTTTCAGTTACTTTGCCCATATAGACAAACCCTTTGTATAACTAAGAACAGAGAGCATTTAACCATTGAGCTTGTGCATGCTCAGTTCTCAGGACACTAGAAGTATCTAATGCAGGCACTAAAAGCACCTTAGTGCTAGAGTACAGCTGGGTGAGCATTCACACGCCTCGGTTGGCTAATAGAACTACCTGGGCTTCTCTGATCTGCAAAATTGTTTTAATAATGTATGAGACTACTGCCTTGGGGTATTTTAATACTTCTTACTGATCCTGACTGATGGACATACATAGCAGCTGTAGAAATAAGACTTAAGGAATATTAAGAATTAAAAAATAGAAAACTAGGTTTAAAAACAGAGATTCCTTATTGCTCTTGAAAACACTGAGGTATTTACAAAAACAAACAAACAAAAAAACAAACCCCCCAAAAAACCAAAAAACAAACAAACAAACAAAAAATCCAGAGTAATTGCTAGAGAATGTAATGTTGCATGCTTACGAACTTTCAATTAATCTCTGAATATGATAATTTTCACACATGTGGAAAATTGCAAGGAAATAACTGTCAGGCTGTTGAGTTCTACCTTTTTATCATTTTAAGCCTCTACATCTAAGAGCACCTGTGAGAATTACTTTCAACAAATATGCTGGAGTCCCTGAATAACAGCGTTAATGAAAATAAGTCTAAAAGAGCCCTCAAACATTAGCAAGCGAACACTCTACAGTCACCTGTTACATCATTTGTTAAAATATAAGGTGGTGCATTCATCACCACTCCTAACCTTAAATATTTATCTGACAGACTGTTAATAAAAAAAAACCCCTAATTCTCATAAGTCAAACAGATCTTTTACTGTTTTCTCGCTTTTTGTTTTTTTAACCTTATAAGTATATTATATTAGAAAAAATAACTTACATGAGGAGGAGGCAGTCAGCACATTCATTACATGCCTTATTGTATGAGATCATCCCTGCGTATTCATGTATACATCCATATTAAATGCCTGTGTGTATATATGCACAATAGCTTCCTAAAGGAACTTCAGATCACCATTTTTGTATCTTCTGACTAAATCAGTGCCTTTGCATCATTTACTAGGAAATGGGACCCAACAGGCCTCTTGCACCTTGTCTCTCTCTAAATGACCCCTTTGTACATACTTGTATTTGTGATGGCATCCCCAGTTCTTGCCCTACCTTCACATCCTTGACGTTCATCCTTGTTCCCTCCTTTCCAACAAAGATGTCGTCTATGTCCACAAGGATGTACCTATCTAAGGACAGTGTCAGCTTTTTTCCAGACAGGAAGGAGATGGCATCAATAAAGATCAGCTTGTGCAACCAGAAAGTCAAGTTGTTTCCAAAAAGGACTCTCTGAATCCCATCGTGAAGGCCCAGGTCCTGAATGACTGTTGCATATAGAGCAGCCTTTGGCAATACCGCTGGCAAGGGTCTGGAGGTTTGCAGTTCTGCTAAAAGTATAGGTTGGTACGTGGAATGGTTAAAGTGGAAAACTGTCCAGTCTTCACCAGGCAGGGCACCTTTCTCGACCCTTGGTGCTTTGGTAATGCGCAGTAGTGGAGACTGAGGATTTACAAAACAGTCTTTGAGGGCTATGTTATTGTAAATATGTAATGGAAGTCCTTTCAGTTTTGTACTTGGTGAGCTGTTCTCGTTGGCTTTATGAAAACCAATTATGCTAACACTGTATTCCACACAGTATTTTTCTAGAAGCTCTCTATTCCATGAGTCCATGGATACATATTTTAAAATATTCTCGTATATAACAATTGTATATTTTCCTTTCTCACCCTCTGTGAGAGGGGGAATATCCCCCTTGGAAGGTGCAATGACCATGTGGTATGGAAAACGGCTGGACTCGAGGATAGCTATGATGTCTTGCCCCAGCTGGGAATACTGGCTTTCCACAAACAAGAGGACAGTGGGATCAGTTTTAGATGGGTCAATTGGCTTAGCAGTTTTCAGCTCCGTGGATCTGTATGGTAAAAGTTTAAGATCTTCGCATTCGGCTTCTCCAGTGGCTTCCGCAAGGGCCATTTGCTGCTTGTAGCCCGTGTACAGGTAGTAGGCGGAGATGGCAATGCTTGCCAGGCAGAAGGTAGCCAAGAGGATTACCAGCGTTCTGAAACTACGGCGAAGTCTCACCGTAAGATTCATTTTTTGCAGGACTCTCAACTTCTGTTGGACTTGTTGCTTTTTGGTTTCTCTCTTCCTAAAGTGCCATAGTAACTAGGAGATGGGTGCTGATTGGCCCAGAGCTGTTCATGTGACCATTGCAGTGCATTTATGAAACTGTTGAGGAGGTTATAAAGTTGTTGGAGCTGGAAGCGAGAGGATCTGGAAAGCTGAATTGAAAGAGACTTTCTCAGAATGCAGCGGTTGCCAATAGTCAATGTGTAGGACTCTTAACATTATCTGCAGTAACAGGCAAAAGAAGAGTAAATTAAAAAAACAATCTGTAAAGCAATTAAAACACATGTTAATTAAGACAGTAACTAATGTTAGTCATCTGAGCTAAGGGAGAGTTTATGAATAGTTTAGGGAGCACTCGCTTGCTTGATGTATTAAGCCATAAAGTAAAAAAAGGTCTTCCATGTTTCAGTACAAAAGCAGCTTTTTGAGGACAATAATATTTTTCCTATTGCTGTTCCTTGGTTTATTGCTATTGCAAATGGAAACAACTAATTATTGGAGGATAGAATTAATACAAAAAGCTGGTTAAATATTGCTGAAAGCTTTATGTCAAACTCGCATTTTTTTGTGGCTAAATATATCGAAAGTGTTAATATTCTGTTTTCAAGTGTGAATCTAATCAAGGTAAAGTGAAAGACATAGAAGGACTTCTCTCAGGTTCCTATTTTGTACCTGAATTCATCAGTGTCTATATTCCACCTAAGTACTGTCTCGAATGATTAAAATGGATGAGAATGTGAAATGAATGAGTAGGGTATGAAAACTGCAACGTGCAACACTGTACCTCTCACTAGGATAAACTGGGGAATGTGTTGATAGGAATGTTGGTGAGCAAAGGAATTCAGTGTGGCACCTGTGTGTACTACAGACCACAGCTCCTCTTGCTGAAGTACTGTGGCTTCAGCCCGTTCCCTCTATCATGATTTGTGCAATTTGTAGTAGTGTTGTCTAAATCTGTGAGGAATTGTCATTACTAATAAAGAGCCATATGAGTTGGAAGCAATTAAAAAACTAAACAAATAGCCCATGCTGCTCTATGGATTTAAATGGGAATTAACATCTTCCTGAATTATTTATATTGTTTACCTACTGGAGCCATGTGTGACTAAAGAATGGATGATTTTTGTACTGCTTAAAACAAGTACTCTTCCAAAGTGACAATTCTTCCTCCATTAACCCAGATTATGATTTCCTAGTCATTTTTAAGCTCTGTATCTAAAACTGGGGATGAGGTGCATTCCTTTGTAAGAAAGCCGTTCAGGAAATCTGTCTAGTCAGTGTAAGGAGCTTCTTGACCATGTCCATTCAGCATTTAAAAAAATGCAAGCTAAAAGTTTCAATTTTGTTTTTAACACTTTAAACACTATCCTGCGCATAACATCAGATAGCGGAGAGCTACACTGCTTTTGAGAGCTTATCAAGCAATGACTGCCATGCCAAACAGGTCTACTTGCTGATGAGGTTTCCTCATTACCTCGCAATTAGAGGGGGTCATTTCTGTGGCTGTTGGTGACTTTTCGAGAACATGGCTTTCATCTGCATTACAGCAGCTTAATATGAGATTCATACCCTTGTTTTTTAGGCTATGCTATCGGTGACCCTGCTGTGTGTTATGTGGCAATTAGCAAAAAAACAGAGGAGTGAAGTGGGTGTTTTACATGTGGACAGAAATACTGCACAAGAGATACTATTAAATGTGGTAGACCATTATGCATGATAGGAGAAATATACAAGAAATACAGCTAGCATTATGAAACTAAAATCACCCTGATAATCGCAAGGATATTTTTTTCTGTTTTAATGCTTCCCTTGTTCTGTGGTTCGCTGTGCCTGTCAGGAGCTTGCTGCTTATTAAAACTCCAATTAAGATTTTATAAAAAGATAAAATTGAAGTGAAGCCCTTTCTATAAGGGCATACATTAGTTCTGGGACTTCACTGAGTGACAAGGGGTTATTGAATGGCAAGCGTGTCTTGTGGGGACAGGGAGGGACAAGGATGGCCTTGCTGCGTCTACCTTCTGCCCACAAAACAGCCAACCCCAAAATGTCTCACTTTTGTTCTGACTCTTAGGTCAGCCTAAGAGATGCAGATAATTTGAAAACATAATTAATCCCCCCATCTTGGACCTTGCAGCCTCTAGTTTTTTTTCGGCACTAGAGGGCAATATCTTCTTGCTTTTGCCAGGCATCACCTGTCACAGCCCTGGCAATTCAATGAGCAAAGAGCCCTGTGGGCAGCGGGGGGCGTTTTGGGGCCGCGCTACCGGGCAAAACGCCCTAAGACTCTTACGCCAAAACAACATGATTGCTGCTCTAAAAAGTCTGTTATTATAGCACACAGAATACTTACTGAATTTTGCTGTCCACCCCTGCAACAGGAGGGAATAGCACGCAAGCAGATCTAAAACTGCATGTTTTCTCTTCACCGTGTAATCCTGCTGGATTTCTCAGGCACTGGCATTACGAGCTGTCAAAATAACACATGCAGTGAGCTGGGTCTTCACTGTTACTATCGCATGTATTACTAAAATATCTAAAGTCTCTGCCTTTATGTTGACAAAGCAAAAAATGTGGTCTTTTTCCCAAATCTATGATCTAAATAAGATAGGTAAAATCTCCTCTAGTTAAAATATAATCCAATTTAATGGAAATTTATATATATTTTGTAAATAGATCCTAAAAAGTGTGTTATGTGTGTGTTAATATTTCTATGTCTAGGTAATGGTAAACTGATAAATTTGCATGTGTAAATGTGGAATTGGAGCAAATCCCCTTCTTTGAGTCTTTTTTGAACTGCTCTGTTGAACTGATAATCTTGTTCAGTAAGAAACAGTATAAGGTAATTAAAGTTTATGAAAATAAATCAACTATATTAGCCATTAGTGGGACATTTTCCAAGGCATAATTGGAAGTTAACTGCCATTCGTGCCTTTTAAAACTCTCCCTCTTAAAGTTCATCAGCTTTATATTCACCCAATATATTCAATACTCAAATTTCTTCGGAGTGTTTCTGAGCTATATTACCCCGTGAAACTTGAAAAATAGGCTATATTTAATACTTAGGATTAGTAATGTACCTTTATCTTAAACTGATATATAATATCCTGTGGTCCAATGGTTGCTGATAAGAATTCATTGACTCTTCATGGTTAGGTCCAAAGTTAGGAATATTCAATGAAGAAATCAAGGTTATATGAACAGGTTCTCTAGTAAATTTGCAATCTTGTGTTTAGCTGACTTTTTAAACATTATGCGTTTTCTTTGAAAGAGCAGAATATACTATACAGAACATACTGTAATGCCATGGCCTTCTGCAAGTATTTAATTCTTAATTCAGACAAACAGGAGGGGGGAAAAAAAAGGGGAGGCATTTATAGTCCTTCCTCTCTGCTAAGGAACATTTCCTGCTTACTCATACAAAAACATTTGTATTGAGACATACTGTTTTGAAGATGATAGAGAAATTAGAATTCAATAATTTAACTGTAGCAAGGTAGTGAAGAAAAACAGCCTTTCAATGATAACTTGCGTTAACACAGCATAGAGAAATAAAACTGATCCTCTCAGAGTTCATTGCCTGAATATGGACCTTCTCGGTGTTTAGTGCTTTACCGAGCTGCTTGGCTAAACTAGCAGACACGCTACTGCAAAAGGCAGTTACAAAGGTTGCTGTTAATTGCTAATAAGGGAACTCTGAATTAATGAAGCGGTTGCCTATGAATACAAAGCAAACGCTTTATTAAAGTGAACTGCTGCTCCACATCATCAGGAAAAGTACAAGCTACATCATATGTAAGCAACCTGTCTCAGGTAGGAGGACAGCAGCAAATACTAGGTGCTTTGGCTGCCAGCCTGAGCAAGGCAATCCTCTCTCCTCTGGAGATACAAGCTTTTTTCCTTTCCTTATCTTCTTTTGTAGGTAAACTAAGGATGTCTGATCTTGTTTAGCTTTTGAAAAACATAAATCTTTGTTAAGCAAACAGTTGTTTCTGCCCATCCCACTGATTAAGCAAATGCATTTTACTTCACGTTTATAATGCTGAGTGGAGGAGCAGTGCACTTGTTGATTCCCTGTAATATGATAACCTCTGATTGCCTGTCTGTAGCAGAGTGCCTCGCTGCGCAGAGTGTTTTACGGGTAATTCATCTGGAACCAGGCCACAAGTTCCCTTCATCATATTCCAGTATAAATCAGAAGTTGAACATCTCTATTTCCTATGTACAAAAAAGTAAAGGGTTTCTTCCTTTCCTTGCTTTTTAAGCTTGCGTAACTCTTGCCATTTATTAGCAATCCAATGCACTGTTCCTAACGCATGCCTGTTTATTCAACACAATCTTAAACTGATTTGAGTGAAAAATGACTCCTGTTGACTCTTATCAGAAGTTCAGGGTTACTGCTCACCGTGGATAGACTCTTCTGTAGACAGGGGAAGGAAGCTACTAGAGACTTCAATTTGAGCCCTTGAACTTCAGGTGGCTGTTGAAAGCACTATTCTTGAGATTTAGCAATGTTGCAAAACATTTTGCATTTATAAACACAGCTTTGCTTGCTAAGAATGTTTATATCCACTGCTTTTTGCTTATCATACATGATACAAAATGCATGCAGTTTTGATTTTGTTCTAATTTTCCATGACAATTTGAATGGTGAGGCTGCCCAAACACTTCCTTTTTCTTTTTTTTTTTTTTTTTTTTGGTTTTCAATTCATAATCTCTAAGTTTAACACTTATTTTTCAGTATTTCTTCTCTTTGCATCTAAGGAGTCTATAGTACACATGATTTTGTGTGATTCCAGATAGCGAAATGATGCTAGAGGTTCAAGTCAATAATCGCAGATTATAAAGCAGAGTTAAAATGCCTGAACTTGTGCATTCAGTGAAACCTGGCTGAATTATATGCATGAAAGTATGCTTGGAAACAAATTACTTGACCTTGTTGACCTTTAAGTTTTTTTGGCTTTAAGTTTTCCCAGATGATTTTAGAAGTTGGACCTTTGAAGAAAAAATACTTTCTGGTGGAAGGGTGGAAGCATTTTTGTAGATTGCACATACACACTTCCACATGTTTATATCATGGTTGGGAAATGTAGGGGCTTTATACCACATTTAGGAAGTATTTTAAACTTCTTGACAAATCTGGTAATTTCCCTTGTATCACTCGATAACTGTCAGATATTTTGTGTCTCTCCAGAACTA